TTGCATATCCAATTCTTTACCTTTTTCAAATCCCTTGGGTAAATATTATCTGGCCCAGGAGCTTTATCATTTTTGTAAACTTCCCAATTTTTTTCTTAAACTCAGAATTAATGTGATCATTTTGTTAAGTTCTGTTTCCATCTAGCAACACAGTAATACTAACAGTTCAATTAGAAAATTATAAAGACCTTCAACAATAAGAAAAAATTACAAGATTGTTGTTACCAGTTTTTTGTTTTGTTTTTAACAATATTGTTCATTAATTAAAATATGCCTTGGGGAGAGAGTGGGGGTAGCATAGTTACACCTGTGCTCCTTTTTCAACAATAAAATTGACATTTATTGTGTGATTACTATTCAAACATTACCAAACAATTTGTGTTAACAAGAGAGAGAAAATCTTTCAGTGTTTGAATACCACCTGATCGACCTTTGAATATTTAGAACTATCTTAATATTCCCAAATAGTTAATGGACATTTGAACCCAGCCCTAGTTTGTTATAAGAAGGATGCTTTTGTTTTACAAGTGGATTTGGATCAATTAGCAAATTGGACAAATAAATGGCAGATGGCATTTAATTATATTAAGTGGATGGTAATGCAAGTGGGGTATGGTAATTTAAGCTAGTTACAAACGTGATGGAAATGAACACAGAGTGTTGTAGAAGAAAAGGACCTTGATGTTTTGGTTGATTAGTCTCTTAAGCATTCCAAGCAGTGTGCTGTTGCTACTAGAAAAGTGAATAGGATCTGTAAAAGTAATGAAGATAAGTTAAAGGAGGCTATTGTTTCATTGTACAGAACTCTGCTAGACCTCATTTAGTGTTGTGTTCAGTATTGAGTTGTTGAGTTTCAAAGGAGAGCTACTAGGATAATTCCTGGGATGGACAGTTTAAGGTACTTAATTATTTTCTCTTGAGTAAAGAAGGTTTACACCTTGAGGGATTCTGATTGAAGTGCTTAATATTAATAAGAAAGTAAATAGAATTGATGCATCATTGTATTTAGTGGTAGGACAAGGGGACATAGGAAATTTTATTTTTCAAATGGTGTTCAGCCTTTGGAGTATATTGCCTTCATATGTAGTACATGTAGTATATATTAAATGTTCTAACGAATACTTTTAATATAAGTAACATTAAAGTTTTGATTATAGGCCCTAACTTAAAGAACATTAACACTTAGTACAACTGTGATGAATTCAAATTCGATGACGAGGAACCAACTTTGAGACTAATAATGGCTGTAGACGGCTTGAATGGGTAATGAAGAAAAACTTTAATATAAGT